GGGATAAGAAGGGAGGGAGAGGAGAAAAAAAGTGTCTGTACTCTCCAAGAGCCGGAAGAAGAATAGAAGATGAAACTGACCTCTGAAATATCTGCTTTAAACTTTTGACAGGAACATTATTTTGTTCATGTTCTCAGCACAGCTTTAGATTATGTCCAGCAGGTGGCACATCCCTACTTGAGAGGTTATGTTGTAACCAGTGGCTGTAGAAAGAGAGGTTGTAGTTGGTAAATCTAACTTTGCTGCACTGTATTTGTGTCCATCAGCAGCCCCTCCTAGTCAGCTAATGTTAGCTACATGCTAACTGCTGCTGTCTCCCTGACAGTGAAGCTAAATGAGACTTTATTAATCATGTATTCCTAAACACTGACTTATATTACAGCTGAAGCAAGAATGTAAGTAAGTACATTTTATTTCAATTGCACTTATCACCAAGCCCCCACAATGCGGTTCAAAAATTGACGCCCACCCGGAAGTACCTAAAATTGCAATTCCACCCTCATCCGCTGGGGGCTGGTGTCAGAAGCGAGCAAATCCTCATTGACTCCCATGTTAAAAATACCAATTTCACAGCAGAAATAAACATGTTTACAGCCTGGTACCAAAACATGTTCTGGGTTTAAATTATCTAGTTTACACTCATGGCAACTCTGAGGGGGATGAATTTTTTTTCACACTCTTCTGTTTAAGTGTATTAAAAGCCTAAAATTCTGTATAATTAATGAGCATCAGACCCACGTGACCACAGAGCTAGCTCCGTGGAAAGGCCTAAGTAGAGCCTCGGTCTGACTTGGAAACTTCCGGGATTTTGAGTCTCTGTGTATTCTGTTTTGGATATTATTTGTTCAATTGTTGGACAAAATGACTTGCTGTGGCATTAACTGCACTAATAGAGCGTCCAAGGAGTCTCCACTTCATTTTTTTCAGTAAGTAAAATTATATTTATGTATTTTAGGTCACTGCCGAGCTGAGCTTAGATTTTAACATGTACTGTTTAACCATGAAATTTAAATGTAATAAGGTAAAACCCAGTGCATTTAACATAATGCTGCACTTTAGAAAATGGGTTGAAATATAACATGTTGGTGGAGCTGGGTTCCGTCTATCGGCTTGTGGAGCTCTCAGGAGGCCGATGTTTTCCACCCGGTTCTCCCCTCCCCGCAGCTCGGTGCATCTCTGTCTGATCGCGGCTTCTGTCTGCTGCGCGGGCTGCCGGCTTTCAGCAGCTTTCGGGAGACCTCTGTGTTCCACCCGGTTTTACCCAGCGGTCAGCCCAGCGTATCTCGGACTCAGAAGCTCTGGTGTTGTACACAGTTAACTCCGGTTGTAGCTAGGTTGCTACCTCCGTTAGCTTAGCTCCCACCTCCGCGTTAGCTTTGGGTTAGCTTCAGGTTAGCTTGTAGCTAGTTCGGCCGGGTGTCGTCAGTTGATCCCAGCCTTACAGCCACACCCTCAGCTCCACCTCTCTTCCCTTTTGTGGAATTGTCTGGGCTTGACAGAACCTGTGACACGGTCAAAATGGTGGTGGTGGCCACCTCCCATTTTGGCACAAAAACGTGTTATTGGAGCCTATGGAAATGAATTGTCCAGTATATATGTTGATGCTTATCACAGACATAAAATCACAAAGTGTTTCACATAGATCAAAATAAAACAAAGTCATAAAATCATAACGATCTCAAAACAGAAATAGATTAACATAAGAAAAAATAAAGTCATAAAATTATAAAATTTTATAAACAGATGAAAGATTATTACAAATTTGAGTTAAAAATAAGAAAATAAATGATTTATGTAAAAGCAGCTTTAAATAAAGAATGCTCTTAGTCACCACGACTTGGTTGTGGCAGACATCTTGTTTCTTTTAATGAAAACGGGGGTTCATCCTACTCCTCTAAAAGAGAGTAGTCTATCTCAGGTGAGCCCCGACCTCCCTCTGACCGATATTAACCTCGTCGTGACCGCAGGGACTACAACAACCCTGTCCCAAGGCCAAGATCTGGTTCTAGGAGCGTGTCTCCCGGAGCAGTTTGCGCCGCATTGTGATCTGCATTTCCTGTCCTGGAGAAAGACCCGGTGGCATGTAAGACGGTTCTGTCTCTCTTTGGCAGAGAAATGTACACACCCTCCTCCACCTCCTGAACCTGTGCGTGACTCAGTTGTAGTGGCGGGTCCTGCAGAGGTAAAACATGCCACAACGGCGCGTCTGATGACATCTGTGAACCCTGCGAGGTCTGGTGTGGTCGTTTCCGTTAGTGCTTGCCCTCTAGCATCCACAGCACCTGCCACCAAATCCGGTAGTCCTTGCTCACTGGGCAAACCTCCACTAAGGTTTCTCTGCGATATCGCCTGTGAGGGTCCTATAGCCTAGTGAACTAGACCAAATTCTTGCTTTGCAAAGAATGGTCTAGGCATGCTCCATTGGAACCTCAGCAGCTCCTACCAGGACTCTGGCTAGCCAATCACAGCTCTCTAGAGGGGTTTCAAACACATAAAGAGCTGTGATTGGTCCATAATGGTGGGCCAATCATAGTGCTCTATTTGCTTAGTGAACAAATCACAGAGCTTTATCTGCTTTGTGGGCCAATCAGGGCACTCTATATGCCTGGTGGGTGGGATGATGCAACAGAGTGAAACAAGAGTATGTCACATTCATTGTCCAGTGGAATGCGGAGATCATTTGAAAGACAACGGTAGAACCCGCCCCACAACCGAGAGCCGTCAATGGAGCATGGCCAGACTAAATAATACATTTATTATAATACAAAATACTATATACTTTATAATACTAAATAATACATTGATTTAGTCTGGCTTGCCAGGCTAAGGGTCCTAATGAGAAACCTCACATTCTGGTGACCCTGGAGGGGTTGCTTGACTGTGAGGGCATCTTGGACTCTGGTTCAGACTTCACCATCATGTCCTGTTCTCTTTGGGTGCAAGTCCGCTTGACTGCGGCTGGACATGGACGTGTCTCAAAACTCACGCCCTGCGCTGTGGACATCAGTCCTTACTCTCCAGGCCAAATGACCTTGTCGTCTGTGGTGTTCCTTACAATCTCGGTGGGTGGCATGTCAATGAGTCATCCAGTGTTTGTGTCTGACATCGAAGCTTTTCCTTTCTTGTTGGGGGAGGGCCTTCTTAGTCGCTTTAAATCTGTCATTTCGTTCGGTGACAACCATAGAGTCTGTCGTCTCTGCAGCAGAATCACTTCACCCTGCGGTGGGAACATAACCTACCCAAGGGGGAGTTGACGGTTGCAGAGGCACTCCACTTGAGACTCTGCACCCTGCGGTGGGAACACCACCTGGCAAAGGGGGGGGGGGGGGGGTTGACCCCAACAAAAGCCCAGTGCCCTGCGGTGGGGACGACACCTGCCAAAAAGGGGGCTGATGACATAATTAATCCTACACCACTGCAGCTGGTGCTGGTGACCTCTAGCCCTGAAGTGGGTGACATACCTACCGAAGGGGGGGTTGACTGTCACCCTATACCACTACTGGCCGACCCTGGTCTCTCTGACAGCACTTGCGCGTCGACCGAGGGCCCTTCAGAGCGCACACCTGCGCCAAACCCTCAAAAGGCCGCGCCTGCACCAGTCTACAGTCTAAAGCGTCCTTGGTTTCAGTTTTTGAGGCTGACCAAGTATCTTGTGCTAGTTGTGTGTGTCTGTCTGATGTCAAACGCGGCTAAGCTTCCTCCACAGCCTCCCCTAACACGACTGTACGAACCTGGGCCCTTTTCGGGTATCACGCTACGAGAGCACCCAGGCCTATTGATGACTAACTACCATCTGTTCACACAAAAAAATTTTGTTAAAATTGAATAACAGAACTTATAGTAGTTCTCCCAACATTTGGCTGCACCCTTCGACCAGCCTTGGCCATTGTGAGGCCATGGTTCATCACATGATCCACAAGTGTTGCCCTGATTTTGTCAGGAATCTGTCTGTGGTTGGCCTTTTTCTTCCCCGGTTTTGTCCCCTTCCTCCACGCATCCTCACCCCTCTTCCACAAGGCTGACCTTCCATGTTCTGCAGTTTTGTAGATACAGTATGCACCTCGTGCCAATCCTGTGTACTGGTTTACAGTATATACATATTTGTAAAGTAGGGGTTAATGCGATTCACCTGTTAGGGACTGTGTAGAAAAGGCTTTTCATTGTTTGCAAGTAATAGTTCACACACCTCTTTTCATTAGTGTAAGATAAGGTTCACCTGAGAAAAGTCATTCATGGAGATTTTCATGGAAACTTTAAAAATAGGGTTATCAAAATGGGTGTACAAGATGTTCAACAATTCTGAGTGCAGTAGCACAAGCATTGAAATGAAGATTATTAGTTGTATGAACGAAAGCAAGTCAAAAGTAACCATTAAGATATTTGGACTCACTCAACTGGTTCATGTCCAAAGGCCTATGCCTTAGGATGGAATGAACAGGAAACCGCCACTAGGTTGTGCCAAAACAACAACATGTTGTGGAGGTTGAACTAACTGTTGTGCAAAGTTTAATTCTGTTGTGAGAAATACTCCAAAGTGACTGAGGAAAAACTGTGAGAAGGATCTTTCCACCAGCACTTACACTGAGACTCCTGAAAAGACCTACTGTAAGTATCACGTATATGCGCTATTAATGATGGTGGGTTGCTCGCTACTCACTAAGCATACTTTCTTTCAGAAATTGTTGCCAATTGATGAGCTCTTCCTTTTTCTGAACTACTTGGCAACTGAGTGTACACAGCGGAAACTCAGCCACAGGTTCAACATCCACGAGCTACTGTCAGTAGAATACTTGTGACATGGGCCAATTTTCTCTACACTCTCCTTGGGTCTCTCTCCATTTGGATGTCCTCCGATGCTGTGAAGGTAAACCGTCCAAAGGACTTTGATGGAGTGTATGAAAATACCCAGGTCATCCTTGATTGCACAGAAATGAAGTGCCAAACACCCTTGCAGAGGTCACCACTGGCCACTAGGATGTGCTGCGATCAAGCCTCGAGGGTGTGCTGCGATCAAGCCTTGAGGGAAAAAGGTGTATTCACGGACGTGCCGGAAGTCACGTACATGTGACGATCCCTCACTGTACATATGCTGCTTCTCATTTGGGTTACTGCTTCTCAACCATCACACTGCTGTCTATCCATGCTACTGCTGTCTATCCATGCTACTGTTCGACTTGTATCTGTAAGTCTTCACCTGCTTGTTAAGCTAATGTATGGTTACATTGTCAGTATACACGCTAAGCCGCGCTGCATTTATTTACCCATTTTGTCGCATTGCTTAGCTTTGGTCTTCAGCCCATGCTGCTGATTCACGCTGCCGTTAGCTTCTGCTCACTCAGCTTTGTATGTTGCCGCAGGGCTCCTTCATCCTTGTCAATAAAACCATTTGACATCGAGGAGTGTATTTCTTCATTAAGGAGCCATGGTGGTCGTCAGATGCTCCGTTCCAGCCTGCACATTCGCCACCGACGACGTGTCTGAGGCTCTCGCCGTGGCGCTGCTGGCAAACCATGGCCTGGCCCATCAGAGCCGGACCGAACCCGCTGCGCCCGTTCGGGCCCCGGGCCTGCCTGGCCCTGCGCAGGATCGACCGAGAGTGGATGTCGGCATGTCCATCGAGGAATGGAACGTCTTTACACGCCGCTGGGACCTCTTCCGCGCTGGCTCGGGGCATAGGCGATGCCCAGGCCCCCTTCCAGCTGTTTCAGTGCGCCGGCCTGGAACTTGGGGACAGTTTGCTAAAGGCTAACCCGGATGCTGCTACTGGACCAGTTGAGACTCTGCTGGCTGCCATTCGCTCTCTGGTGGTGATACCGGTTGCCACATGCGTTCTGAGGACTGAACTGCTTCAACTACGCCAGGATCGTGACGAGCCCTTTCGTGCATTTGCCGCCAGGGTGCGTGGCAAGGCAGAAACCTGCGCCTACAACGCTGTGTGTGGATGCAGGCAGTCAGTTGACTATTCTGATCATATTATTTGTGATGTACTGATTAATGGGATTAATGACTCTGATATACGAAGGGACATGTTGGGGACTCATGATGTTCTGTGTAAGTCTGTTAATAATATTATATCACTGGTGGAGAACAGAGAAATGGCTCGCAACGCCCTCCCCTCCTCCAGCCTGTCAGCTATGTCCTCGTTCAGGCGCAGACAAGCGATGCTACCATCAGGGCCTGCTTCCTCTCCGGCCCCACCAAACAGGTCTGCTAAGGCTATATGCCCTGATTGTAAAATGTCTTTCTGTGTTTTTTCTGAGGGATCTCGGGGCTGGAACACCAAGCCTCATCGGATGTGTGCAGACTGCTTCCGGGCCCGGAAGAGACGGGCACGGCAACAGCCACACATGGACGGACAACAAGCTGCTGTAGGCCATGACGTGATTTTGCAGGTCTCATCCGTCACGTCGGGCGTCTGCTCTAATGGACGCCGCAGAGACAGGCACCGACCACGCACCTTGGGGACGCGTAGCTGCAGTGATGGGCCCACGCCGATCAGGCTCAGCCATCACATCTTCTCCAAGGGCGAATGGCGGCGTGCAAAGCTCAGGGACCACCCCCGAGTGCCCATCTCCATCCAGATTGATGATAAGGTGAGGTTCACTAGTAGAGCCGGTGCCAGATGCCCGGCTGCAGAGGCCACCGTGTCCGCCATTGCAGACACGGGGGCTCAGTCGGACTTGTGGTCCCTGGAGGAGTTTCTGGCGTGCGGTTTTGCGCGCAGCGACCTCCACCCGGTGGTCCTAAACCTCTCAGCGGCGAACAGCTCCCCCATTGACATTGAGGGCGCCTTGTTTGCCAAACTATCCACTACTGCCCCTGGTGGTGAGGTGGTGTCCTGCCACGCAATGATATATGTTAGCAGGTCAGTTCACGCGATGTACCTCTCGTATGACTCTCTGCTCAGCCTCGGCCTTCTGCCTAGTGGGTTCCCATCGTGTACGAGTGGGGGCAACTCGCCAGTGGGCCATGACCTTGAAGCCGCCAGCCGTTGCGGTGGGCACACCAAAGTCTCATGCCTGGGAGAAGTCTGTGACGGAGGCATGGCTTCCCATTATGTGGCTTGTTGCTCATGTCCTCAATGCAGCGCCCCGCCTCCGCGCCCCGCGGAGCTGCCATTCCCATGCTCCCCAGAGAATAATCACTGTATGAAGGCATGGCTGCTTGACAGGTACGCACCTTCAACATTCAACACTTGCCCCCATCGGCCACTACCATGCATGGAAGGTCCACCCATAGAAATACACGTTGACCCGGTGGCAACGCCAAAGACGTGCCACACCGCAGCGGCCTTGCCTTTACATTGGCAACAGAGGGTACATGATGACCTACCTCGGGACGAGTCCCTGGGTGTCATTGAACGTGTCCCGTATGGCGAACCAGTGACCTGGTGCCACCGGATGGTGGTCACCCAGAAGCACGACGGAACCCCCCGTAGGACAGTCGATATCTCACCTCTTAACAAATTCTGCAAACGTGAGACTTTCGCAACCGAGTCCCCATTCCACCTGGCGCGCCGGATCCCGAAAGGGACCTGGAAGACTGTCACCGACGCCTGGAATGGGTATCACAGCGTGCCCCTGCGCGAGTCAGACCGTCATCTCACTACCTTCATCACTCCCTTCGGCCGCTGGCGTTACACCAGGGCCCCACAGGGCTTTCTGTCGTCTGGCGATGGCTACAATTGCCACTTTGATGCGATCCTCTCCGACTTTGAACGGAAGGAAAGGTGCGTGGATGATACCATTCACTATGACACTGACCTTAACACTCATTGGTGGAGAACAATCGACTTCCTGACGCACGTTGGCCAATCCGGCATCGTGTTGAACCCATCGAAGTTTCAATTTGCTGAGAGGGACGTTGATTTTGCTGGTTTCAGGGTCCCTGATGCTACAATCGAGCCCCTCCCGAAGTACCTGGCAGCCATCAGGGACTTCCCCACGCCTACTTCGACCACGGACATCAGGAGCTGGTTTGGTCTGGTCAATCAGGTGGCCAACTACGCACAGCTGCGTGACATAATGGCACCATTTAAGTCCTTTCTGAGCCCTCGATGCAGATTTGTGTGGTCACCCGAGTTAGAGGCAGCATTTCAGGCATCCAAGTTGGCCATCGTGGACTCTATCCGGGCAGGCGTAGAGATCTACGACATGGAGAGGCGCACTTGTCTCCGCCCAGACTGGTCCAGGCGCGGCATTGGATACTTCCTCCTCCAGCAGCACTGCACCTGCAGCTCCGGTGTCCCTGGCTGCTGTCCGGATGGATGGAAGATTACTCTGGCTGGCTCGCTTTCTCTCCTCCGCTGAGCAGCGATATGCCGCTATTGAGGGGGAGGCCTTGGCTGTAGCATGGGGTCTGGAGCAGACCAGATACTTCATGCAGGGGTGCGATAACCTGGTCGTGGTCACCGACTATAAGCCCCTGGTGAAGATCCTTGGGGACCGGACATTGGATGAGATAACTAACTCTCGCCTGTTCAGGCTCAAACAGCGCACACTCCCATGGCGCTTTGACATTGTACACTTGCCTGGCAAGAGCAACTGCGCTGCCGACGCAGCCTCCAGGTATCCCTCGCCTTCTGGCTCTGATGAGGGCCGCTGCGTGGGCGCATGGAATGTGACAGATAGCGAGGAGTCGGGGCATATGGCGTCCATTCGCAGCGACGCACTGGAGTCTGCTGCCATTGCATGGCCACTCCTTGCACAGGAGACCGCCGCGGACGCATGCCTCTCCCACCTCCTGCACCTCATTGAAGATGGAGGCAGCATTGACCCAAAGAACCCGGCGCTGGCCCGACCTGTCTAAGGTCTGTGAGTCAGTGTATGCGCAAGATTGGGTCCTGCTGTATTGTGACCGCGTCGTTGTCACCACGTCCCTTCGTCGTGCGGTACTTCAGCACCTTCACGCCGCCCATCAGGGCAAGTCGGCAATGGAACGTCGGGCCTGCTCCATCGTATACTGGCCTGGGATGTCTAACGACATCCAGTTGACCAGGGAGCGATGCGCAGACTGTAACCGCAATGCCCCCTCGCAGGCGGCCACACCGCCCATGCCGGCATCACCGCCATCCACGCCATTTGAGGAGGTGTTCGCAAACTTCTTCAACTACAGGGGTCACCACTACCTGGTCGTTGGCGATCGCCTCTCCGGCTGCGTGGAAGTCATGAGCTCTCCCGCGGGCACCAATCTCGGGGGCTCCATTGGGCTTATCCGTCACTTAAGGGCTTTCTTCACCACGTTTGGTGTGCCCGAGGAGTTGTCAAGCGACGAAGGTCCGGAGTTCTCAGCAGGGCGCACAGCGGACTTCCTCCGCTTATGGTAGGTCAAGCACCGCATGTCCTCGGTTGGGTTCCCCCAGTCTAATGGAAGGGCGGAGGTGGCTGTCAAGACGGCGAAGCGCCTACTAGTCTCAAACACCGGTCCAACCGGGAGCCTTGACCATGACCGCTTTCTGCATGCGATGTTGCAACTGCGTAATACGCCTGACCCCGACTGTGACCTGTCGCCCGCGCAAATCATCTTTGGTCGCCCCCTTTGGGACTCACTGTCATTTGTTAATAGGCTGGAGAAGTTCTCTAGCCCTCACATCCGTCCGCTCTGGCGTCAGGCATGGGCGGCGAAGGAAGAGGCCCTCCGGACTCGGATGGCCCGTACCACTGAGTCTCTGAGAGAACACGTACGACTGCTCCGCCCTCTCGTAGTCGGGGAGGCGGTGTTCCTCCAGAACCTAGTTGGCTGTAGCCCGCGGGCATGGGACAGATCTGGGGTGGTAGTAGAGTCACTAGGACATGACCAGTACCGTGTCAGGGTCGATGTGTCTGGCCGCCTCACCCTGCGCAACCGGCGCTTTCTCCGCGCCTTCACCCCAGCGACCCCTCGCACTCACCCGGAGAGCGCTGCGCCGCTGCCTGCGTCCAACGACGAGACACACAACTTAGGTCCCACCAGCCCGGGGTCAGCGGGACCCCTGCCAGATCAGTTGCACATACCACCCGAGCCCCGAGGCACAAACCCCGGCACTGCCCACTCGGTGCCGAATCCTCCAGACGAAGCCAACTGGAACGCTGCCCCAGCGGCGCAGACCCCGGAACAGTGACCATCACCCCCCTCCTCCCAGCCAGCGGGCTCCGGTAGAGTAAGGCGGCCACCCAATCGGTATGAACCTGAAACTGGCCAGTGGGTTAGGTCATGAGTCCACTGCGCCGGTGTGTCACATGGCTTCCTGGACTGGGGGGGATGCAGAGGTCACTACTGGCCACTAGGGTGTGCTGCGATCAAGCCTCGAGGGTGTGCTGCGATCAAGCCTCGAGGGAAAATGGTGTATTCACGGACGTGCCGGAAGTCAAGTACATGTGACGATCCCTCACTGTACATATGCTGCTTCTCATTTGGGTACTGCTGCTCAACCATCACACTGCTGTCTATCCATGCTACTAAGTTCGACTAGTATCTGTAAGTCTTCACCTGCTTGTTAAGCTAATGTATGGTTACATTGTCAGTATACACGCTAAGCCGCGCTGCATTTATTTACCCATTTTGTCGCATTGCTTAGCTTTGGTCTTCAGCCCATGCTGCTGATTCACGCTGCCGTTAGCTTCTGCTCACTCAGCTTTGTATGTCGCCGCAGGGCTCCTTCACCCTTGTCAATAAAACCATTTGACATCGAGGAGTGTATTTCTTCAACCCTCATCTCTTTTACTTCAGAGCGAAGTATTTTCTAACTACAAACCCCATTGCACCTTCAAAGCACTTATGGTCATGTCTCCTTATGGTGCTCTAACTTTTGTATCTGTACTGTTTGAGGGTTCCATTAGTGATAAAGAACTATTCCGTCATAGTGGTATAATCCCCCTTCTGATATCAGAGATGGATCTCATGGCGGACAAAGGATTCGCCATCGATGAGCTGGTGTCTGGGAACGTTCACCGACTAGATTTCATGTCCAAGCAGGCACAGATGCCTGAGGTTGATGTTCTCAGGATACAATCTATTGGACTCCTTAGAGTCCATGTGGAGAGGCTCATAAGAAGAGTCAAAGAAAACAAGCTTTTTGACATGATCATCCCTCTTTCCATTTCAGGAAGCATAAATCAAATATTTACAGTGGCGTGTCCCTTCACAAATGATCAGTATGGTCGTCTAGTTAAAAAAATGGATATAAAAACAACTGAAGAATAAGTCCTACACTGAAAAAAAAGGTTCAGTCAACTTATAAAAGCAACCAGCTGCACACCTTTTATGAGTTTTACGTGTACAAAGTATTAACAATACATATTACTTCTACTCTTTACTTTGAGTGGAAAGAATCCATGTTAAGTGTATGCATGTTTTCACTATCAGAACTATTGTACAGGATCTTTTCCTTTTAGGGGAATTTCATGGTCCCGGTCCTAAGGATCGCAACTCCATTACAGTTTTTCTCAGTTGCTAAAACACTAAAATCCATTGACTGAAGAAAGTTCTCAGTTGCTTGAATTCATTAAGCTAACTGTTGAGCCTGTTGTCAAAACCTTCAACCATTTCACACGGTTTAGCAAAACTCTAAACGCATTCTCATTCTTAAAACACACTGTGCACTCTAATGTATATGTCATCCATACTGGTAAACACAAGTGGCACACATTTACCCATAACAAGAGCACAAATGTAATTGATTGAACACAATCAGTCAAATAGATTTCACTTGTTTCAAATGATGTGACAACCAATATAAGCAAGTTCAGAGAACAAACAGGTTTGTGAAGGTGGGAATGAGAAAGTGTGACAATTGATAGAATAATTCATGTGAGAGGACGAGGACGGGTGCGTATGCGAGGTGGGGGACAGGGAGGAAGGCAAGAAAGCAAAAGAGGAGGACGAAGAGGAAGAGCAAGACAAAGAGTGGAAATACCCAATGAAATTCGAGCAACAATCATAGACGTTGTTGTCCATGGGCTGACAATGAGGGAAGCAGGACTTAAGAGTGCAACCCAATGTGAGCCTCAGGAGGGAAAATATTACATGTGATGTCAATGAAGTGCTGTGGCCTGACCCAGCCTGCAGACAAGAAGAGGCCCATTGATAACATGTTTAGTCCTTTGATGTTTTTCATTTCATGTATATTTTTTTTCACTGTCATTGTAGACTGTAGCATAATGGACTGCAGGCTGTATATGGTACAATAAACAAACTGTATGGCCCTGAACATTGTGCTTTCTATTTTTTGGTGTATTGTTTACTGACTGCTTGACAGTGTATGTAATTTTGAGTAATTTGTTTTTGATTTGAGAGTAGTGCTTGGTCTGATTATTTCAGAGTTGGAGCTGTCGTGACCAGCCGCTTGATCTCTTCCACAGCGGCGTCATGCTTTGGCAGCCAGTGCCATGGGATGTACCTGTCCAGCAGCCTCCGTAGCAGCTCGCACGCCTCCGAGAGATGTGGAGTGAATCTCGACAGGTAGGTCACAAAGCCTATCAGCCTTTGGACTGCTTTGTCTGTGGGGTGAGGCATCTCCTGAACCACTCTGACTTTCTCCGGGTCAGCCCTTGGACCATCTGCTGATAAAATGTGTCCATGAAACTTGACCTCCCTGACCTTGAACTGCAGTTTTTTTAGGCTTAGTCTAAGCTTCACCTCCCTGCATCTGTCCTTGAGCTCCAATAGTTTCCTATCATGGTCTGCTGCGGCTTACCCATCTATATCCCCACATCTCACTACCAGGATACCATCTGCAATAGGTTTTACCCCTCCAGCCGTGCCAGAAGCTCATGCTGTTTTCGCTGATATATCTCTGGGGCCACAGACACACCGAAAGGCCATTTCAACTAGCGCTTCCTGACCCAAGGTGTCCAGAATGTTGTTGCATAATTGCTGTCCTCATCCAGCCTACACTGCAAAAACGCATCACGCGCATAAACAAGAGTGAAAATACGGGCCTTGGGGAGTTTGTGTAAAAACCCAGTGTGGGCATTATGTAGTGGGACCTCTTCAGAGCTAGGTTTAGTGATGTGGGGTCTATACAAATCCTTAGTTTCTCGGGCTGCTGGACTATCACCATGTAGTTGATCCAATCTGTTGGTTCGGACACTGAGGCTCTCTTAATGTTTGTCCAGTTGAGCTTTAACAGCCTCTCTGAGAGCCACTGGAACATTGCGTGGTGAAGCCTGCACTGGCACTACATCCTTATCCAACACAAACAAACTTCACCTGGGAGCGCTTCAACTGGCGCATTAAAAACATCCTCATAGGTGCTGATCAGATGCTGCTAATGGGCCTGAACTGCTGTGATCTACCACAAGTAGTTTCTATGGTATGGTAAAGTGCATTAATCCTAGACCTCGCAGGTGTCGCCTGACAACAGGGGTCTCTGACTGCTCCTCACTGTTTCAAAGCTCAGCTCGTGGGTTTTTCCTCTCGCTACACACTCAGTGTTAAATATGCCTATGGATGACATGTCTTGGCCTGTATATAAAACTAGTCTGGTCTGGCTTGGTAGTAACTCAGCCTGGGGTGCCAGTCTCCTAATATCCTTCAAACTCATAACGTTGCAGGTCGCCCCAGAGTCTAGCTGGCATCTCTGAAATCCCCCATTCATTTTAATATTGGCAAACCATTTTTCCTATACCTCTACACTGCCCCAATGCTCTCAATCAATCAATCAGATTTTATTTATAAAGCGCTTTTCAAGCAAAGTGCGACTCAAAGTGCTTTACAGAATTAAAATTACACCAAATTCCCATAACAGTTTAAAAACATTAACAGACATATGCACACACACACACATACACACACACACACACACACACACACACACACACACACACACACACACACACACCCAATAGCATCAGTAAAAATTTATATTCGGCTGAGTCCAGATGAGCCAAGTAAGGTAAGGCAAGGAAACGCCATCAGAGGAGCCATCTGCCCCGGCAGGATCAGGTCTTCCACAGCATCTAATTCAGGCCGCTCAGAGGAGGGGGAGCATAGACCCCCACTTCCACTTAAACACTACCTGTAGAGCGCCCAGGAAGCAACAGTTGAACGCTGCCCCTGGGGCAGAGGGCCCCTACAGGGAAAACACTGGATTAAAATGAGTAAAAGTATGAAAATAAAAGAACTAATATAACTGACAAAAGTAAGAAAGTAAATAATAAATAAAAACATATGGAAAGTAAAATTATAATACTATTAAATAATGAAATTGTGCTAAAATATAATCATTGGCCTGCTCTTCAGAGAGCATCTTCTAAACTAGCACCCTCCCTGCACCCGTCCCCCCTCTCTACTGTCCACTCCTTGTTCCCTCCTCTCCATGATTGATGTCAAGTTGTTGTTGTTATTGTTGTTGTTAGCCTCAAGGGCAACATGCCGATTATCACTTGTAAGTCGCTTTGGACAAAAGTGTCTGCTAAACACATTAACATAAAACATGCAAAGCCAGTAATAAAATATAATCATGTAAAACGAGAAATAAAATAAAAAGCAAACCTAAATAGGTGGGTCTTGAACCTGGACTTAAAAACATGAACTTTATCTGCGGCCATGAGGTCCTCCGGCAGCTCGTTCCAGAGGCGAGGGCCGTAATACTGGAAGGACGCCTTGCCGTGAGTGTGTGTCCTGACTTTAGGGATGACCAGGAGACGCCTGCCAGAGGAGCGCAGAGGCCGCGAGGGTTCATATGGTAAAAGCCGTTCTGAGAGATAAGAAGGCCCAAGACCATTAAGACACTTACAAACCATTTGAAGAACCTTAAAATTGATCCTGAACCATGCGAGGAGCCAATGCAATGATTCTAAAACTGGTGTAATGTGCTCCCGCCTCCTGGTCTTCATCAGGACACGTGCTGCTGAATTTTGTAGAAGTTGTAAGCCTGAGATGCTCTTTTTGGGAAGACCAGAAAGCAGGGCATTACAGTAATCTATTCTACTGGTGGTAAAAGCATGCATCAACGTTACCATATTGGCCCGAGAGAGAATAGGGCGGACTCTGGCAATGTTCTTTAGATGATAAAAACCTATTTTAGTGATGTTTTTAATGTGTGGGATAAAAGTCAGCTCAGAGTCAAAAATCACATTCAGGTTCTTCACTTGTTCAGAAGGATTAAATGACAAAGATTGTAATTTTGCTAAAAGTTTCTCTCTCTGGGCCTCAAGACCGATGACTAAAACTTCAGTTTTGTCCTGGTTGAGCTGGAGAAAGTTCTCTGCCATCCAGGATTTGATGTCTAAAATGCAGTTAAAAAGTGCACCCAGTGGCCGAGAGTCATCAGGAGACATGGAGATGTACAACTGTGTATCATCAGCCTAAAGCCTGATTTATGCTTCTCCGTCTGCGTCAGTGCGGAGACACGCAACGCCATTATCCGTCCTTGCGTAGGGCACGCAAGTACGTACGGAGTCGAGCCCACTTTTTTAAACATCCGTCGAACGAGACGGATTACGCAAGCTTGTGATTGGTCAGGACGCCGCTGTTGTTTACAGTGCCGCCATTGCAAAGAGAGCCGAGGATAACTAGCGGCAGACACGGAGAAGCTTGAAGAATATCTCGCGAAAAAACTCTAAAAATATGAACGTTTAATTCTCACGTGACTGGAGGAGTGAAAAGATGCGCAGCAAGCATTTTATTTGTGGACGGAAATGACAGGAAACGTGGGTTTAGAGGTGGGGAGCGCATGAAGCGGTGG